TCCCCATGCCCACAATGATGGTGTCAGATTGCATCCGTAGTTGTAAACTTTACCTGCAACAAGAAACAGACTCCATAAATCAGAGGAAGAAAAAGAAGAAGAAAAGAACCAATATCGTGAAAACAGAAGAGCCGATTGTATCACCTCCTCTGCTCTGAGAGCAGAAATTGTTGTTAGCAGTTGAAACTTCTAAGAGATAAGAGAGACGTCCACCGGCTTCGGCAGCTTTGAGAAAGTAGTCGTCTACTTCTTTAACAATCTCAACAAGATCCTTACTGTTCCTGGAAACAACCATGGCGAGCTCGCTCCCCGTGGTGGCTGTATCCTTCGAGAACCCACTGACCATCGATGGCGGCGTCGTGACTGCCGCAGCGCAGCCGGTGACCGTCGTATTAGTGGTAGTAGGAGCCACATCCGACGTGGTTGCGGCCTCTTCCTCCCATTCCTCCTCCGTCACCGACCTGGACGAGGACGGGGGCGGTGGAGGGACGAATGGGTCCCAGAAATCCCATCCAGACGACGGTGGAGGCGGAGGTGGAGGCGGAGGCGGGGCCGGAGAGGCGGTTATGGATGTTGTCCACGTGGTGTCTGAGCTGGGGCTGCGAGGCGGAGGGGGAGGCGGAGGCGGAGGCGGAGTTGGTTGTGGCAAGGGAAGTGGCGGTCGTTGGTGGCGGTAGTGATGGAGATGAAGGGTGGTCTCGTTGGTAGAGAACTGGAGAAGAGCAGAACCAGTGGTGCGAAGAGAACGGAGGTACATTGCGTGAGAAGCGGAGAGAGCTTGTCTCGCCTTCACCAACTGTTTCATGTACCTTTTCCTGGCCTTGCACCGAGCTACCATTTCTTGTCTCTCGATTCTCGAGTAGCAACAACCCATCTTCTTCCTTCTCTTCTCTCCAGATCAACTCTGTTTCTTTCTCCCTTCTCTTACTCCTTTTACAGACACCCAAAAAAAAAAAAAAGAGAGAGAGAGAAAAGGAAGATGCTTTTCAAACTATTTCTCTCACAAAATTCCAAAATAAATCTCGCTTTGCCTGCGAAGCTTTTATCAATGGCGCTTCTTTCATGCTAACACTTTTAAGAACCCATAAGTGCACAACACTGTTTCCAGTTTCACACATAAATCGTTCCACATCACCTTGTATCTCTTTTGAAAATTTTGTGGGTCGATTTTTTTGTTTCCAACGGAAGACTTTGAAAAAAAAAAAAAAAAAAAAAGTTGCCGTTCTGGGAGACTGTTAAGTTACTCTTACTTTTTCTCCCTAAAGAGATACGATTTGCAGTGTACTTTGGGTTGGGTGGTGGAGAGGAGGAGGAGGAGGAGGAGGAGGAGGAAGAGGTGGAAGAAGAGGAACAGTTTTGAAAGGTACGAGGCAGAGACAAATGAGCCTTGGGCAGAGAGCTAAAGCAAACCAGTAAGAATTTTATATTTGAATTTAATGACAAAAAAGGCCCTCCATTTTTTAAATTACCGTAAGCACGCCCTCCAACATGTAAAAGAGATGGAGGGTGTTTTTTGTAATTTCACATTTCAACTGCAATACAAAAGAAAATTTTAGAATGAATAATTTTATGTTGACAATTTATTGGACTTGAATGAGGAACGGTTTGACCAGTAACATACCGTCTCCGGGTGGGTCGTCTCGTGGGTAAGGTCTTGTTTGGAAACCGCAAATATAATAATAACCAAAGAGAAGGAACCAAACGGATTAATTATAATATAAGAATTTCATCCTCCAAGTTACGCACATTCTAACCATAATTTAAGAGCGTATTTATTAATTTCAATTAACCATGAATACTTAAGATGGTTCATCATGTTTTAACGTTAATATAATTTTTGTTCAGGTATATTTGCATTTGAAATTTTCAACTTTGGATTAAAATAATTTATTATATGGTTAGGGAATTGTGATGGTGGAATCAAAACCATCGTTTTCACATAAAACATGTTCCTGTTCCTGGTGGCGTTGGCAAACGGAAAAACTGCTAAAAAATTCCAATCCATCCCCGTATTTACATAATTACCCCTCGAAAAACATTCAAATTACTCACGTACCACTTTTTAATAAAACAACATTAGAATAATTATATATATAAAATTCCATTTAAACTTATAATATTTTATATATAAAAAATATATATATATATTAACTGTTAAATTAAAGACTAGTTTGTGAATTAAAATATTAATGCTTATTAACTTTTTTTTTTTTTAATAGTGAATATCTTTATAAATATTTAACTGTTGTTATTACGTGACTAAAACAGTTTAGTTAGTAATTTAAATCCGGATTACTAAAATAATCGTGCCTGGCTATCAAATTTTATAATGTGGTAAGTAGAGACTGTCACATGCAATCCTCATAATATGTATATATATATATATATTTATATACACACACACACACACACACAAACAAGCATATACGTTAATGGAGATAAGTAAGGCAAAAAAAAAAAAACAGAGACATAAAATGGTGGGTTTCATGTACTCTTTTGGCTACTCCATTGTCAATATTGTAAACAGACAAGTCATGCATACATATATATATATATACACACACATACGTATATTCCTAAATATTAAATTACACCACCTAATATTGAAATTCTAATTTACTATTACGTGATATTTAATAAAATATATTTTTTTGAAGGTAAGAGTAGTAAAAGAAAAATTAGATTTGATAAATTTTTGGGCATAATATGGAATATATAGTGTGTGCGTATATGTGAAATAACGGTCGATTCGTTTTCCCTCCACCAAGAACAAAAAAGAATCAAATCCTTCGCTTTGCTTCTCTCAGTTTAAAGAATCAATCTTTTACTTTTCTATCCATCTCCTCGCTATTTAACGCTCCCAGATTTCCTAATTCAAATCAACTGCTTCCTGATTTCTTCGTTCCGGTGATCCTGCTGTCTTGAGCTTGGTGGAAATGGCGGTGAAAGTGGACTCAGAGTACCGAAAAGAAATCGAGAAAGCTCGACGAGACCTTCGCGCTCTCATCTCCAGCAAGAACTGCGCTCCTATCATGCTTCGCTTAGCGTAATTCATGTTTTTTTTTTTTTTAATTTTTTAAAAATTATTGTTTTGTAGTTGTTAACGGAGCTGAGAAACATGATATATTCATAATTCATCTTGTTGATTGTATCCTAAACTGTGTAAGGTCGTATTGGTTGCAGTTTGGTGAAAATTAGATACTAAAATGGACAACGTTAAATGAAATTTCTTTTTTGCTTCCATGAAAGGTGGCATGATGCTGGAACTTACGACGCTAAAAGAAGGACAGGAGGTCCTAACGGTTCCATAAGGTTTGAAGAAGAGTACAAGCGCCCTGCAAATTTGGGATTGGAGAATGCAGTTGCCATTTGTGGTGAGACCTAGCTCCTTTAACATTATTGCGTTTTGCAAACAAGTCCTTCTAGTTGAGACTTTAGATTGAATTTCTAATCTAGATTTGAAGCACCCCATTTGGTAATTAACTTGTTTTGACTCCATGGCTATGTTATTTGCTGCTTCTACAATGTTTGGCAGATTTAGAAACTTTTATGTCTTGCAAGGGAATCGTGTTGTTGGACTTCATATCTAAGGAGATGATTTTGTAGTTTATATTTTTATATTTTAACTATTTCTGGCTCCATTTTTATTTCAGAAGAAGTGAAAAGGAAACATCCAAGGATTACATACGCTGATCTCTACCAGGTAAGTAGATTTTAAAGTGAGGAAACACTATATCTACTCAGATTTTTTAATGGGTTCATCTTTACAGAACATGACATAACAAAAGTAGTTTCAGTTCTTCATTCAGACTTGATTGCTGTTTCTTTGGAAAATTTCCAGCTTGCTGGAATAGTTGCAGTTGAGGTCACAGGAGGCCCTGAAATTGACTTTGTTCCTGGTAGGAAGGTAATGTTTCATAGGCTTGATCACCAGGTTATATTGCTCTTTACTAAGCCCCCCCTTTTACTGTCAATCAGGATGCGGATTGTCCTGATGAAGATGGGCTTCCCGATGCCAATCAAGGTTTATTACTAACTATAACTGGTGTCATTTTAATCTCTAGTACTTTCCAGAAGGTTGCGCGCCATAATTCATAAGCTTCCAAAAGATATATTGGGATGTTTAAACTCAAGTTTTTATGCTAGGCTTGATCTCTTACCAGTTTAAACTCCTGAAAATTTTGGCACATCTTTAAATTTAATGCAGGTGTATCACATCTCAAAAACATTTTTTATCGAATGGGTCTATCTGATAAGGACATAGTGGCATTGTCTGGAGGACACACATTGGTAACATTTTCAGACATATTCAACAATCAAGCCGAAGTCCACCACTTTTTCCAAACATACAAACATATAGTGCTTGCACTTCTTTCTTGTTACTTCTTAATTATCTGGTTTTGTAGGGAAGAGCACATAAAGATAGGTCAGGATTTGATGGTCCCTGGACAAGTGACCCGCTCAAGTTTGACAACTCATACTTTGTGTAATACATAAGATCTTTGATATTTGATTAATTCCATGAAACAATCAAATTATATTTAATTGGAAGAAATGAATTGGAATTTTATTTTAAGCATCACAAAATGTATGATGTTTATGCTCATCAGGGAACTACTGAAGGGAACCTCAGCCGGCCTACTACAGCTTAATACTGACAAAGCTCTTTTGGCTGCTCCCGAGTTCCGGCAGTATGTGGAATCATATGCAAAGGTACATAGCTTGACATGAAATTCTTGTGTGTAGTATGTGTATGAAGTAGATTGCCTTTGAACTGTGTATGTGATAGCAGACCATTAGAATTTTGGTACAAGTCGGACAGATATGACTGAAGATTTTCTTCTAACCTGTATTTGGCAGGATGAGGATGCATACTTTAGGGATTATGCAGTCTCGCACAAGAAACTTTCCGAGTTAGGCTTCATCACTCCACCACCAAAGGTTTCCAGGACACTGGCACGTGTACTTTGGCATGCGATTACTGTAGCTGTGGTGATCTTAAGTTTATTCTTTGCATTTAGTAAAAGGAGACAAAACCTCGCATGCTTAATTCTTTTCAAGACATGCCCAAATATTGTGTGAAGTGACTTGAGGGATGACCGTCCTTGGATTTGACAATAAATAAGGAGTATTGTTAATAAAATTTTATTTGATAAATAATAGATCAATTCTTATTTTGATAGGCAAGGCTTACACAAATGAATATTGGACCTGAAAACCTACTGCCAACTTAATTTGCTATTGCTAGTAGAAGAACTTCAGTTTAACACCGCAAGGACTTGCAGCAATCAAGGAGAACAAGTTCATCTCCAACCTAAATCACATTGGCTTTTAAAAAAAATTTAGTTAGGATATATTATACTAAGACTTAACTAAATTAGTTCAGGCTCTTGGACTCGAAGAGAGCTATTATCTTGAAAAACCTTAAGCCTCTTTTCCACTGTCTTCTGAAAGACCTCCATATTAAATTAGTTCAGGCTCTTGGACTCAAAGAGAGAGTGATATCTTGAAAAACCTTAAGCCTTTTTTCCACTTTCTTCTGAAAGATCCCCATATTGTCGCCAGTTTCCTTGGCCTTCCCTCCTGCTTCATTTGTTGGTCCAAGAACTGCAGCAATAATGGCCTCTTCGAAGTCCTTATTGTCAGGTAACAACTCTGTCAACTTATTCCTATTTTCTTCAGATAACCTTCTTGTCTTCACTTCTGGTTTCTCTGGATCTGCAGCAAATGGTTTTGCATTCTCCCCCAATTCACTCACCCTCAGACCATTAGCAGCATTCCAAGACCTTGTGCGCTTCAGGGTCTCATGAAACTGATTCCCAATTGGGTTTTTTGCAATTGGATCGTTAAAAAACTTTAATGAATAGAAAGGGGGTGCATCACTATTCAGTGAGTTTCCATAGAAAGGAGGAGGAGGAGGAGGAGGAGGAGCTTGCTTAATGCTCCTCTTCTGTGGAGGAACCAAATGGTTTGCCATTATATTTGAGTCAACATTTTCATCAGCAAAATCATCAAAAGGCTTGATTGCTGCACAAGTGGCTGGCAAACCAACTTGGTCCCTGCAGGGCTGGGGCTGCCAAATTGATGAAGAACCAAGGAAAGTATCAAAAAGCCTGCTCTGCTCAACCTGATCTCTTCCCTTCTTCATCATCTCAGATTCAAGGTCATTGAGCATCTGCTGTGCCCTTTCATAGGCTTTTAGATGAGAATCTACGCCTCTTGGTCCATCTGCAACTGCAGGTTTCACTCGTCTCAACGTCTCCTTGGCCTGGGTAATCCTCCCTTGCTTCATCAAGCAGATACCCAGATTACACATCTTGTTATTATCAGGTGCTATCGATAGTGCTCGCCTATATGCATCTTCTGCTTCAATGTAATTGTTCTGTTGCATCAATGCCCATCCCAAATTTCCCTGAAACAACAAATTGAAGTTCACTCAATTCCTTTCCATAGATACCTAATTATGAAATAAACTAAAATTACTTGAAGATCGATTTAAATTTCAATCCCTTAAAATATAAATGGAACTACAACATAAGTAGACTAAATATTTAGAGTAAAAATAGCATTTATCTAATTCAAATGGGTTGAGATATAAGTAAATTCTCACCAGTAACCGAGTTGCTTCTTGCTCCACGGAGACTTGGAACTTCTTTCCCTGAGACCTAGCTGTCTTGGTTCGCTTCCCGTTGAAAGCCAGACCTTGTTGAATCAAATACAACTTATGCTTCAACAGAGCAATTTGGTCATCAAGTCTTCCGCATCTCTGTAAGAAAATAAGTCAGACAAGATATAAAACAGAATCAATATGCTCTCTTTACTCAAGAATTTGAAATAACCAGAAAAAAAAAAAAAAAACTTATCGCAGAGATGCAGTTGTTTTTAGAAACCTTGTAGAGATCCAAAAGAATATTATCAAGAGATTCCTGAGCTTGATCAGAACAGCGATTTCGCAGCGACTTTATGGCTTCAATGGCTTCTTCAGCCCGATTTTGTTGCTTCATCACAATAGCCATATCCTTTAAAGCACTGTCAACCCTGTCCCCTGCATTAATGGCCGCCCAAAACAAAGGAATTGCCTTTTCTGGATCCTTGTCCACCAACTGTTGAAAACAAACAAAACAAGGAATGCTCATTACAAAAACTTCCAAAAAGGGAAGGAAAAAGGGTTTTGGAAAAAAAAAAAGAAGCCAGAATCTAAACCTGAACGTTCTTTGCTCTGACATAGGGCGTGTCGCCAACTGGTACTTTGTGGATGGCGTGGAATGACTCTGACCGAGTTCTCGAGATACCAAGAGGCTTTGCCGGAGAAGTTGGTGCTGACTTAGTAGGCCTGAAACCAGGAGGAGCATTCCACACATCTTGCAACATCTTTGAAGAAAGAGATCTTGTTTTCTTTCCTGTTTCTCTCCAAAAGGTGAAGAAAAGACTGGTGGGTGAATGAGAGAGAGAGGGAGAGAGAGCTGAAGAAGACGGGAGAAGCAGAACGATTCGATTTAGATTTTAGAGAGGGTTTGGTCGAAAAATATTTGAATTTTTTTGACCGTTGAGGTTACCGTTTTACGAACTAGCCGTTAGCGTGGACTCTCCAATAATTGAGTCATTTAGTGAAAATGGATATTTGCATATAATCCCTATATTTCATGGTATTTTTCCGTTCTCTCAAAATCCGCGACTAAGAAAAACCGAATTACAGTTTGACCTTGTAGTTTTGTCTAATTGTATTTCAAACTTCTTTATTTATTTAGATATGGACATAAAATTTTGAAGCTAAATAAATTACAATTAAAAATTAAAAAAAAAAAACAGCCAGAAAAATTATTAATTCATGCAAAATAAAAAAAATTCAGATGCCAAGAGAAACTATTTATGAGGCTTCCATTTTATGTTCAGTTGATTGATTTATGTTTGAAATAAAAATTATTATTTTTTTTAAACTCAAAAAAGTCATATATCTTATCTTATATTATGTGATTTGAGAAAATTAAAAATAATTGAGTTATATTTACAGATAAATTAAAAATTTAGTCCCCATTATTTTTATATAACAGAGATTCTTGTTTTTGGTCAAGAACAATGTGAGAATTTTGCTTATAAATAAGAACAACCAATTAAGGTATGTTTTCAACAATTCATTAAAATAAATAGATTTTGTTACTTAAACATTTGGTAAGCTTAATATTAAAAATTATAATCTTTGTATTTAATTTAATTAAAATAACACTGACAAATTTGGTAGAAATTTGATTACACAGTGTTAAAAGATATCTTGCTATAAAAATTATGAATATAATCGAAAACTGACCCAATTTTCTCGTGGGTTTGGGAAAATTTTCTCCGGTCAAGAACTAATTCTGGGCTTGGTCTAAATGGGCCTGGGCCTTCTAAATCCATTTCGTGTCAAACTAAAAATTCTAAATCCAACAGAAAGAAAAAAAAAAAAAAAAAGCTCAGAGAAAACCCACCAGATAACTCTCTCCATCACTACACTACACCAGCAGAAATTCCAAGGTTTCTTGACCTGCTACATCAGTCGCAGAGGCATATAAGCAAGCAGGGAGAGAGACAGAGACATGGGCAGGTCTCCATGTTGCGAGAAAGGTCATCCAAATAAAGGAGCTTGGAGCAGAGAAGAAGACGAGAGACTCATAGCCTACATTCAAGCTAACGGCCAGGGTTGCTGGAGATCTCTCCCTAAAGCCGCCGGTCTTCTCCGCTGTGGCAAAAGCTGCCGTCTCCGGTGGATTAACTACCTCCGTCCTGATCTTAAGCGCGGCAACTTCACCCCTGAAGAAGAAGAGCTCATTATCAAGCTCCACAGGCTTCTAGGCAACAAGTAAGCCATGATAACTTGTATAATTAATCTAAACAGAATATGTCTAAACACTAATTGTCGTCTGTGTAATTTTGTTGTGTGTTAAGATGGTCTATCATAGCAGGGAGATTACCGGGAAGAACCGACAACGAAATCAAGAATTACTGGAATACCCATATAAGGAGAAAGCTGCTAACCAGAGGTGTTGACCCATCAACTCACCAGCCAATCAACAAGGCAGGAAACCTTCGTAGAACGAAACAAGGAGATGAAGAAGCAGAAGAGAAGATCATCTGCAATGGCGGATTCGGGATCCAAAACCAGAAGAATACAGATAGAGAAAAGTGTCATCAAGAACTGAACCTAGAGCTCAGGATAAGCCTACCAACAAATCCAGTAGTGACTCAGCCATTTGAGAAGAGAGGGAGGCAGAAAGTTCTCTGCTTTTACTGCAGCCTGGGTTTGCCGAACAATAAAGAGTGCAGTTGCAGTAGCAGTGAAGGTGGAAGAAACGGTGCCTTGGATTATAGAAAGTTGTAGGTAATTAGATACGAAAACAGAAACTAATTGTATAAAAAGACGACACTTAAAAAATCTCTTTGAGCTTCTTTCTTTTATTCTCCGCCTTGTATATATTGGTTTATGGAACTGTAAAAAGAAAAACCTTTCCCTTCTCATTTTTCTTAATTTTGTTCATAGATTTCTTGATACATAGAGGCTATGTTTCTATGTTTCTTAAAGACTAGTAACAATTTGTATATTTTATGCATAAGAACTGTTTAGAATATAGAATTTTTGGAAGCAAAAATGATACGGTTAAAATGGAGAGGAGGTAGGTGGGTAACCCATCTCAGTCAGGTCTAGAGAGAGAGATGAGATTTATTGAACGGTGACAGCAAATGATGAGATCACCTCGACAGAGCCAACAAAAACGCATTTGCCAACATGCTTTTCTTCATCTTAAGATAGCTTTCTAAAAGGACAAAATACCTTAACTAAAACTCTTGACCTCTTCTTCCTTTGTTCTTATGCTTGGGAGTCGGGACATTTATATAGCCGTTACACTTTGCGACTCGAAACGATACATCTTAACCACAGTTTTAAAAACCCCTTCAAATTGCTTCTCATGAAAATCATAAATGTCGTAAGTAAATGACATTTTTTTTTAAGAAAAAAACCCTTCTCTATCGAAGGCAGATGATAATTAGGATGAAAACTACATGCCTTGAATTATTTCTTGCTTCCTTGACTGTGATTAAAACATGCCATTGTTAAGGATGTGCTTCAATGACTTCAAGGGCCATGGGTTCTAGAGTAGGTAAAAAGGTAGAGGAGACATATGGCATATACAGCTGAAAACAATGTACACTAATAATAACATAAATCGACCTTCTAATAAAAAAATAACATAATTGAATAATTAAATGTACAGCTCGACTTAAATCTATGACCTCATAGAGAGAAATGGAAGTACCCATCTTGTAGAGCACTGGCACGGGTCTTGTTTATGTAGAGTTGGTTTAAAACAAGGAAGATGATAGAGCCATTAAATGTTGTAATTAGTTCCTATATTATGTTTACAATTAGATTTGTTAAAAAGCAAATAATCGGATCATTTAAAATGAACTCAAATCATCTTCAGCACAATGACAAATGACCCTGTTTGCTCCTGAGAGTTCTTGGGCTTATGATAGGAGATGCTTGGTAAATCATAAGAACAACTTCGAAGGGAGCAGTAAGAAGCGACAAGTAGAATTGAGAAACGAGTCATGGCATGTCGAATGCAATGATTGGGACACAAACATCTGTATAAAAATACCGTAGGGTTCTTGGTAACAAAAAAAAACCTTTTAAGGTTCTGCATCATACTCCATACCAATTCAAGCAAACAAGTAGACTGTCTAAAAGTTCTGACTACAGATGAAGACAAAAAGGTGTAATAGGCAAACACCTTGATTAATGCATCTCACTTGTACCCCTCGTAGTCACAGTGCTCGAGAACTATCTGGTCTATCAGTTCTAGCTGTACCGGAGCTTGATGATTCACCCATCGCATCAGGAGAACCTGCTGCCTGGAAAGAATCCCTCTTCAAAGATGTTGGCATACCTGAAATCTCCTGAATGAAATCAATCAACATGTTAAGATGCCCGTAAGTCAAGGTTAAAAAAAAAAGTCTCATGGATTAATACACCCAATATCCACAGCCTAACTATCGTAATTATTGAAACTATTCATGCTGCTCAGTCATCTCTCCTTGTGCTCATTCAGTCATCTCACTATGGGACGGTTGAAAAAGAAAAATATCGACTCTTGTTGATGAAAATTACCTTCATCAAATGCAACCTCATGTCACAAGGGCGAACCCCATTTCCAATACATGCCATTACAAATTTGGAATAGTTGAACAATACATCAGCAGCAGCTTGCTTCTTCTCTTCAATCTGCAATCATATTTTAGACTTACACTGATTAATCATCAGAGAAGCTTCAATGGAGAGTGCATGTTTGGGGATCTAGACAATTACAAACACTGTTTTCATTCTGCTTTCCCTTGTATTAAAACTAATAAACCAAATGGAATGGAAAAAATTGATAGGACCCAAATCCCACACAAGCCAAAAAGAATTTTACCATGAAGAAACAGCCGAAATTTTTTGGAGTCTGTCTCGTGTAAACTTGAGAAAGTAACATCTATTTTCCCATGAAATTGATAGATCCATTAGGAATTGATAGACAAGAATTTTTATCGACATGTAAAAGAACTCTCATTTAGGGTTTTGACAAAATACGAGATCAAAGCAGAATCGAAGTGGCCGTCATCCTCGCAAGAAAAAGACTGCCAATAGGACATGGGCTAGCAGAAGCTAATAGTTGCATCTATGATTCTTACAGAAAAGAAGCAAGCGAATCACTGAGAGAGAGTGAAGAAAGATATCAACCGATAAAAACGATAGAAAATATTGAAAACCCTTTAAATGGGAAATTGACAGTTCTAGTGCTGTGGATGTATGCAGAAATAAATTTTCACCATTTTAAGGCATTTACAGTTAATTATCTTGTAAACTTGGAATCTAAATGAAGCCTCTAACTCTTACTGACTTGTCCCGCCAGATTCGAAGTCTTGTCTTGGAAGAAAGAATTAAAAAAAAAAAACGAGATAATTCAATTAAATGAAAGAAAATTTGACAATTGTACCTCGTAATCCTCTTTCATGATCGAAAATCTGTTTCTTCCTTGCAGACTCGAATCCTAAAGACGGTCTCTTCTCGACGTACGTAACAGAATTGAAATATAATTGAAATATAAAAAAATACCTATTAGCTCGATCGGACAGAGTTTCGTGTTAACAACCGCAGACATTCAGTTTCGAGATTTCCATGGGAGAAGATTTTTAACTCCTTTGATTTTTTAATGTAAGTTCCTGTATTATTTTTTGTGTTTATTTGATTTCTATATTTTAAATTTTTATTGATTAAAATCCAACAGCCGTGATAAATATTGAATGGGTAAAAATTTAAAAGTACAGACTAAAAAAATAAAAAAAAAATAATAATTATTCTCAAGTACTATTTCTTAAGAGATAAAATAATTTTAGAAATTAAACAAATAATCTGAAATTATTTTATTATTATGTTACTAATTAGCAAGCTGACAGGACTTAATTTTATTTTTTGCCGAAAAATATTTTACTGAAGACTTTATTTTCAATATAACCATGCATTAACTTGTGTAATGACATTACCTGAGAGGCCACACAGCACCCCCCTCTTCAGTGACCAGAATGGCCTGCAAATCTGATAATGGTATTGGAGCCATAAAAAAAGAAGCCATGCAATCCAACTGCGGTCTTAAAAATCATAAACCCATACAAGTACAAATGCATTTCTGCTTCATGTTCTGAAGCTAAACTGTTCTTCAGATGAATTAATTGGATCTCACCAGTTAACATCGGTTTGTAAATATCCTATCCTGCCATTACTCCGAAAGGCATCACAGCAAATGCTGATCGACTTCCCAAGTATGGACTTATAAAAGTTGCAGTACAACAAAGGTCATTCAGGAATCAAAAGATGCAGTGAGGGGAATCTGAGATCATGTTTCTTTAGGAGGAGCCTTTTTAGCAGCTTCAGCAGCTGCTTTCTCCGCTTCAATTTCAGCTACGAGGGCATCGATTTCTGCTTCTTCAAGTTGGCGCAGACCATGCTCCTTTGTCATTACAGCAACTTCTATGTTCTTTCCCCCACTTTCAACAACCTGCATGTAGGTGTAATATAAACTCATTAGGATGGTGATTGCTGGAATATTTCGAATTGATATGCAAATAGACAGAATGTTGAAGGTACTTATTGCCTGGCATCAGTTTGACAACCAAAAATATGAATGATACATTATAAGTTGCACCCTGGTAAAATTCACCAAATCTAGTGTACATCAATTAAATGCATCTAACATTCCTGAAATGTTCAATCAGCTTCACAGATGGGGCGATCCATTAGTAATCTAAGGGAATATTTGGATCTGAGGAAGGGAGGGGAACAGAGCAAAGGTAGCGGAAAGCATTTTATTCACTTATTCTGGAAGTTCAATTTTCGCAGAGAATAGAGATGGAGGAGGGTTAACATTTATCCTCCATTTCCTTTCACTCTACAGATTATATAATTTACCCTAATTGGAATTAAATTGAGAAAAAGTAAAAATAGGTCAATAAGAAAAATCAAATTACCCTTGCTTACACTAATAAACATAAAAATTATTTTTATTTTAATACATTCGTAAGTGGCATCTATGCAGTCACATATACACTGTGAGTATAGATACTATCTATACATGTGCACACTAATAGTGACATTCACAATGAGGGTACACTTTCAAACAAACCTTTTTTTTATGATAGAGGGACTAGGTTTATCCATATTATTCCCTCGACCCAACTTTTTTGTTATAGCAGACAGAATTCCGTTGGTATAATTGCGAACCTTGCCATAGATTTTGATTTCACCTTCTATTTCTCCAAGTAAAGCTCTTCGCATAGCAATGCCTATTGTGTTGGCTTGACCTTTCATAAGTGCAGACAGAATAAAAGGTTGAAACATGCCTGATATATAGTGAGTAAATACTGTATATGCTAGCATATACATGCTTTGATCCATATACATAGGCACACATGCAGTGGATAACACTGAATATATAAGTACATATAAACTGCATATAAATGCAAACTGCAGTATATACATACATATAACTACCTCAATATAGATATAGTATATATCTGGTTATAAAGACTATATTTTCCTGTCTTTTTCACCCAACAACCAAATATTCACTCTCTACTTCTTAGCTCCCAAACAGAGAAAGAAAAGATGATACTTTTTCTTCTCTTCCCATTCCTCCATTTACTTTCTTTTGCTTCTCTCTCTAGCTCCAAGCAGACAATGAGTACTAACAATGCTCCTCCAAAAGTGATAGCACCAAAAGTTAACAAGTCCATAACAAATAGACTTTCATATCATGCACTAAGAGTCCCGCACCTAAAATAGAAATTCCAATGTGCAAAGAAAAGCCAAAACAAAAACTTACCTCAAGCAATGCCCTAATTGCAAGCTTTACAGTTTCTTGCCCAGAGGTTTCCTTGTAGTTTTTCTCCAGAAACTCTCGAATTGAGTTAGAGTTTCTCCCAGATGCATTGGCTTTCCAGGCAGAAAAAGTACCTGATGGATCTGTTTGATATAGTGAGGGTGCACCTGAATATGGATCAAAGCCCACAATAAGAGTTGAAAGGCCGAAAGGTCTCACTCCACCACTTTGAGTGTACTTCTGCTGAAGCCCAGCAATGTAACGGGTAATATACTCTACTGTCACTGGGTCCTCAACTGTTAGCCTATGGCTTTGACATTCAATCCGTGCTCTGTTTATTAGCACGCGAGCATCTGCCTTGAGTCCAGCGCATGCCAATGCGATGTGGTTATCCAGACTTACAATCTTCCTAACTGATCTGTGAAACAGAGGCATTGAAGTAGTTTATAAAGTTAACCTTGAGAATACCGGAAAGAATAATGAAAAACCATAGGAGCAATTTAAGCATGAAAATCTGAACAAAAGTCTTACTTGAACCTACTTTATCAATCCTAATACCTTGTAGGGTGTAGCAACATGACATAGATGAGCTGATTTTTATCTAACTTGGATTGAACCAATCATTTGATAACATCTACTACATATAATTGTCAAATTTCCAAAGGTGACCTACATTCTTCTTAATCAGTAACTGCAGTAAGATCTCCTTTTTAGATAGAAGCCTGTTGTGTTCATATGTCCCCTAAACTAAATAAATTTTGGTTCAATTCAATTCTATTCTTTTGTTATAATTACTAAAGTATCTTTATGCAAGGAACTAGATCATTTTTGAGTAGTAATTGCACCAGATTTACTCCTACCTCTAATTCTTTTGTTGATGAACTTCTTATTTCTATTTTTCTAAGTAAATAGAACATATTTGGGTTGTGGTCTAGGATGTAGTGGGTCGATGTGGGTTGTTCCTCCTTCATAGGAATGTTTCATGAGTTCAAACCTGTATGGGGACGGGGTGAGTAAGGAAGCGAAAATACAATGTAAAGGAGCATTGTTTGCGAGCTTGGGGACACTATGGCTGAGCGGAACCATAGGATATTTGACTGAACCATTGCTTTCCAAGTTCTATGGAAGCTGATGACCTTTTTGGCTTCCTTATAAGCTCAGGCCCATGCTCAACTTACTGATATTTCCATCCATGTGTTCCATAGAAATTGGGTGTTGGGGGGTTGGGGAGAGGGGTGGAAGGGAAATGAAATACAATGATTCTTGTTGGTTTTTATTTATTTATTTACTTATTTTTTGCTGTTATTATGTTTTGGCCTTGTTGTACAACAAGGCTTTAGGAGGATAGCTTATCCTCTGACATTGTATTTTCTTCCTTCTTATCTTTAATAATATTTTTTCTTCTATTGAAAACTTGATAGTGCGTCGAGCTCAAGGTTGATAACGTGTTGAATGAGGCGGTTGAAGAGTTTTACCACAGGCTTTATACAAACGTGAATCATGGAGAAGTTGAGTGGCATTGCTTTTGCCTTGCTAGACAGAAATGATTCAAATTGGTCTTAAAGGGGGTTTTCTAAGAGGAGATAAGGGTTGCTTTGAAGTTGTGTAATGGGGAGAAAACACTAGGTTCTTACGGCTTGAAGGTTCCCAGCTACAGATCTATGGTTGGTGCTGGTCATTGCTGCTAGGAAGGTAGAGATGCAAATTGGTTTGAAAGGAGTTTTTCTAAGAGATAAGGGTTGCTTTGAAGATGTGTAATGAGGAGAAAACTCTAGGTTCTTAGGAGTTAAAGGGTCCCAGCTACAGATCTATGGTTGGTGTTGGTAATTGCCACTAGGAAGGTAGAGATTTGGTGAGATAATGGTGCCACAGAGTTTTGGCGGCAGGTGCCATAATTTCCAGCATCTTTTGTGGGTAGGACTCCAGGAAACGGCTAGTTTGAGCTGTCTGAAGTTGGTGATGATGGCAAAATTGATCATCACTCAGCAATGGCAGACAACGTGAGGAGTGTTGATTTCAAACTTTTTGTCTTTGATTTCTTCATCTCTAATATTTTCTTTTCCAGATGATATCAATTGATGTATGACAATAAGCAATTTTTTTTTAAGCCTAAAAGAAAGAAGACAAATTAGGGATTAAATTGCATACTTACAGTTAAATATAGGATTCTTCATTTTCTTTTTTTTTTTTTTTGAAAAATAGCATTCTTGGATATACACAACCTACAAATTGAAAATTGGGCTTGAGGAGTAGGAAAAATAATTCAAATAGTAACTGACTTTGTTACTTGACTCCCTTAAGCATCAAGCCTAAGATGTCAAACCTACAACGAGTATTTGATTGCATCAGACAATCATTCAAAACAAGTGAGGAAATTCTCAATATCTGTATGGAATAATGTCTTTCTCCTAAAAGAGACAACAAGTCTAAGCACAATTAGAAATTCCAACAGAAAACTAAAATTTAAGCAAAAATCTTAACACTGCTAAATTCCTAATCTTTCCCACAATCACAATACAAATTGTAGATCTGTAAGATTCTTGATTATTTAGAAAGTGAAGTTAAACTTCTTCCGCATCCGCGTAATTCATCCAACCAATGAAGCATCCCATATACTCAATCATAACATAACAAAAATAAACTCAGAGAACAGCTACTACTACAATCGTGTTTAAGACCTCATGGCAAAGCATTGAAATCTACAATCAATCAAATCCCTAAACAATTTCATTAAACTATCCACCCCTTGTTTGGTACTGGAAAAAGATTGTCCCAAGTTACCAACGATCTCAAATGACAGCATCAGCACCAATCAATCAGGGTTCGTTCAACCCCTAACCATAGAAATCGATTTAACTCGAACAAGATAAACGAAACTGCGTGTAAATGTCAATAACCTGTAGTCTTGGAGTTTGGGAGTTGATTTCTTCTCGACAGCGAGACAACGTTGTCGGCGCCACGGACACCGACGACGGCGTTGCCTTTACGGACGGCTTCTAGAGCGTACTCACTTGGAACAGATGCCCATCTGGCGAGAACACCGTTATTGCTCTATCGTACCTTGCCATCCTCTCTTGCGTTTTTTTTTCTTTTTGTTTCGGTTCTGTACTCTGAACAAGCAAATGCCAAAGCAGAGTCGGGGACTAGGGAGCGGGAGGGACTATGAAGACGGATGAGGTATAATCCAGTGCAAGTGGATTCAGAATATTTATCAAAATTATCTCCAATCACAGTGAGCCACGCAGACAGATAGAAGCTCCGAAATTTATTAAATAAAAAAAGGGGGAAAAAAAACCCAGGAAATCATTTTACTGGGCCTTCAGCTGCCTCTATCCCAAAAGAAGGCCCATGACCCCTTCTCTTCGTCTTCTCAGCAGCGACGTCTTAAATTAGAATTTCACAGCAGAGTAATACTACTAAAAAATGGTGGTTGTCCTTATTTTTCATCTTTAGAGAAGTACTGGAGTTGACATTTCTCGAATTGCATTAATGGCAGAACCTGGCAATTGAAGCACAGAATGTTTCTAGTACTATTTATTTAGGTACACCAGCTTTTATTATTCTTCCGAAAGCAGCAAGGAAAACTGAATATTCTCCTATACATAATAGTATACATGTTAAACTGCATTCTCCAAAAGCTCTTCTGCTCACAATATATATATATATGTAATTACACTTAAAACTCCTGTCTAAGACAAAATATTTGTGTTAGCTTTTTGTTTTTCTTGCTTTAATTTGAAAGTGAACAAATTAAGCTGTTCTTTTAGTGAGGGAAAGAATGGTGGACACCATCAGCTTGTAGTTAATTGGCTTTGTTAGATACGCATCCATGCCCACCTCCAGGCACTTTGCTTCATCCGATGACATTGCATGAGCTGTCAAGGCAACGATCGGGATGTGCAAGCCTGTTCCTGTTTCTGATTTCCTGATTGCTTTCGTAGCCTCGTACCCATCCATCTTTGGCATCTGCAGATTCTCCATAGAGACAGAGAAAAACTTAATTAGAACTCTCTGCAGCATGCAAATGTACAAATATATCATAATATAAGAATTTCAAAATGTCGGGGATGATGCAGTATTGTGTTGTTAATATTTCTTTAGGTCTAATCTTGGTTTTGCTGTTTTGGTGGATTTTGGTTCAAATTTTAGGTCAGTGAACAAGGATGAGAATATAACATAAATGAGATATGCATTTGAATGAAGACAGTACTTCAACTTCGAATTAATCCCATATTCAGTCCAAGTTAGATATTTTTATGATTCCTATATTGACAAATAGCAACAAGAGTACAAATAAGGTATTATAGAATTGAAGGTACGAATGTGATTGATTCAATTATCTACAAATTATTAAGATTTAGAAATTAAATGAGAAACAGATGTAAACTTCAAAATACTAACAGATGTAAGTAAAGGATACTTCGAGCAATTTAAGAGCACTACTCGGCTCACTTCTTACCTGACAGTCCATCAGAATCAAGTCATATGGAGGGGAATCCAAGATTTCTTTTCTCGATCTTGTGCTTCCATCTTGTGACAGGGAATCTCTTTTATATTCTTCATTGTTAAGCACGCAGTGTAGTGCATCAACTGCCTGCTGTCCATCGCCAACAGCAACCACTGTTGCCCCCATCTTTTCCAGCATTATGGTTGCTACTCTCTGGAGTACCGGTGTATCTTCTGCGAGCAATATCCGTAGGCCTTCGAGAGATTTTTGTTCCTGCTTAGACTTTGATGAAAAAGAATTACCTTGATCTTCAGGACTGTTGCTAACTGAATACTGCTGTTCCTGGCATTTTGAACTCTCACAGGAAACTGATAATGCTTCCTTGGTGTTCCTCGAATTCGCATCTCCAGTGTCGTGTAGCTTGGGCTTGATTGGAGCTTCTGGTCCTAAATTAGTTTTTTCTTCTGAATCTGCTTGATTGAATTCGATAAAACATTTTCTCTGTGTCTGACACTGTGATGGGCTAGATTTCCTCATTTTTTCCCTTTGTTTCTCTCTAGAATGCGAAGTACTTGTGGAATTCGAACCGCCAATTTCAGACGTGTCAGAATCATCAGAGCTGCAGGTCTCATACTGAGTGGAATCAATCTCAAGGCATTCATGGGAATCACTTTGTTTTGTTGTAGTTCTTGAAGCACTTGAACTTCTCTTCTGCATTTCCATACTTCTCTCTTTTGTGACAGCTTCCAAAATCTGAATCATCTTTGCCTTGTAAAGTGGTTTATTAACCATCAATATATACCCTTTCCTGCGCAGCTCCATCTTTATGGTATTTGAAGTATCATGATTTAACATCCACGCAAATTTTGCCTTCCCAGAGAATCTGTCAAGGTAGTTCAGCTGTTCCTTCCAGATGTTCGTGCTCAAGTCAAGAAGTGCTATGTCAATTACTATGACAAAAATTGGATTCTTCATATCCTGCATGTTTAGCAATTCAGCTTTCAAAGGTTCACCAAGGGAATAGTGGGTATCAAATCTGTTATTATGATTTCTGTCTTGAAAAAGGTCTCGAAGAATTTGCGTTAGTTCATTCCATTCTGATGCTTCTAAAGTGGAGACACCATGTTTACGCAACCACTTGGACATAATCAACCTACCCATACTACCATAAAGGGCAAGCAATGCCTGCAGTTCAAAATCCAAACTTGTTAGCCCACTTGACGTGAACAAGTCTCATAATGGCTATAATATTATCACCATGATTCTATTCAGGATAATGAAAGTTTACTCACCACCAACTCATGTTGTGCAAAATCGACTTGGTAATGCGGCTCTGCTCCATCTGCAGGTGTATTGAGAAGCAAGAATAGTTGCATAAGAGTTCCTGGGCCATTCTTCTTTACAACCTTTATCTCTCCACCCATCTTGTTAACCTGTCATCACCCTCATCTTTAAATGATAAAAGAAAAAGATTATGAATGAAATTTAAGGGAACAGTAAAACTGGGAGAAGATTAGATGTGTGAATGTTTTTCGGCCTAATGCATTTGCTGCTATCCAGGCTTAGTTGAAATTCTCCAATTCACATGGTTGTTCAAATAGGTTGTAGTAACGAAACCAGTGGACTGTGGAGAGATACAAGCTTCAAGGATTCAGGTGATAGTCGGGTAATTTCCTTTCTCATGAATAAAGAACTTCATATACTCACCAATGTTCGCACGATGCAGAGTCCAAGGCCTGTGCCACCATGCCTGAGAATAGGAAGGTACTTTAGAAAGAACCAGGATAACGTCTTCACTCTATATATTTGCATAGATTACATAAACTTTTTAATACCATTAGATATTCATTTTGCCATGTTTAACATCATCGTAAAAATTACATACTCGATTCGTTAGCTTAAAATTTGCAGCTGATGAATTCATGATTGATTAGTAATGGACAAGAAATGAGCGACTCACGTTCGAGTGGTTGAGGGATCAGCTTGTTCAAAGCTTTCAAACACGGACTCCCATTTGCTTGGATCAATTCCTTCAGAAATAAAAAAAACAAATTATTCAGATGAGATTAGAAACTGGATATTTCCTTAAACAGTTGATAGATGGATTAAAATCATGTTCAAAGACATTTCTAAGCTGCATACCACATCCTGTGTCATCAACTTCAAAATACAGGACCATTTTGTTGTCTTTCTTACAAGACTTCTTCAAGTGATTCCCCTGTGGCTTCAACTTCGTCTTAATTGGAGGCCGTGATTTCTTCTGGTCAAGAGGAAAATTCTTTGCATCATTTAGAGAATTCAAGCTCTCACACCATCCACGCAGAATAATATGACCCGCTGTAAAAAAATTACAAACAAAAATAAACAAAAGAAACTTTCATCACTTCAGGCAAATTTTCTCTAGTTCCATGATCCTCGAAGAAAAAGAACTC